TTTGTGTATGTGCCTGCACGTTGGGTGCCTAGAATGTTATCTGAAGAACACAAACGCCAGAGAGGCATGGTTTGTCGTTAGCATCTTGAGGGCTATAGGAGAGATCCACGTGCTTTCATTGGTCATAGTGTTACTCAGAGTGAAACCTGTGTTCATCACTTTGACCCAGTCAAAGTATGCAGTGGAAGCACGTGACGTCACCAAAGTCCAAAACATTTAAAAGAACGACTTCCAGTGGCAAAGTCATGGCCTCCGTTTTCTGGGACTCTGAGGGCGAAATGATGATAGACTATTTATAGAAGGGTTCCGCAATAAATGGTGCATATTACGCTGAGGAATTGAGTAGGTTGCGTGATCAAATCTGAGAAAAGCTCAGAGGTAAGCTTCGCCAACGTGTCTGGTTCCTCTAGGACACACGGCCCAAGTGGCAGAGGGGGTGCACAGGACTGTGGCTTCAAGATCCTCCCTCAACCAGCCTATTCTCCAGATCTTGGACCATCTGACTTCTTCCTCTTCCCCCAAACCTGTCCTCAGGGGACTGCACAGTTCATTATTGACCCGTTTCACGTGAGTTTCAATGGTCTTTTAAAACACTTTCAGGACAGGGGGAAGGGGGGCGCACCCCCTGCAACCACCCCCACTCCTCTGGATCCGCCTTTGAACAACTTCCATATAGGTCGGATATTAGGTAGGGAGGCCGGAAACGTTTGGGACATCTCTTGTAAGAGGTGGTAGCCAGTGCTAGCCACGTTCCTCTGTCCTTTCATTACATGCAGAGTCTGAGAAATCTGAGAAGATCGTAGCTGTCACCCTGGACATCCAGCCATGCATGTTTTGGACACGTGACCACTGTTACTGCTACATGTAGGTAAAGGTTATCATAACTGGGCCACTTTCATGTCACACTAACATTATGGCCGCTTTGAACATCGTTTATGTGGATACCAGTGTTTCCAAAATAACTATATGATGACATGCCATACGTACTCAACAAAAAGGTTATGCACCAACTCAATTTTCAGTATCAAAGTATTTGATACTCCATATTATGATCCAAATAATACTTAAATATTGAATATTGGGGTGATTCTTAAATTTTTGTGTTGAGTATATCTCTATTTTCAGTATCAAAGTATTTGAAAGTTCATTTGATGATCCATATAATACTTAAATATTGAATATTGGGGTGATCCTTAAATTTTTGTGTTGAGTATATCTCTATTTTCAGTATCAAAGTATTTGAAAGTTCATTTGATGATCCATATAATACTTAAATATTGAATATTGGGGTGGTCCTTAAATTTTTGTGTTGAGTATATCTCTATTTTCAGTATCAAAGTATTTGAAAGTTCATTTGATGATCCATATAATACTTAAATATTGAATATTGGGGTGATCCTTAAATTTTTGTGTTGAGTATATCTCTATTTTCAGTATCAAAGTATTTGAAAGTTCATTTGATGATCCATATAATACCTAAATAGTGAATATTGGGGTGGTCCTTAAATTTTTGTGTTGAGTATATCTCTATTTTCAGTATCAAAGTATTTGAAAGTTCATTTGATGATCCATATAATACTTAAATATTGAATATTGGGGTGGTCCTTAAATTTTTGTGTTGAGTATATCTCTATTTTCAGTATCAAAGTATTTGAAAGTTCATTTGATGATCCATATAATACTTAAATATTGAATATTGGGGTGGTCCTTAAATTTTTGTGTTGAGTATATCTCTATTTTCAGTATCAAAGTATTTGAAAGTTCATTTGATGATCCATATAATACTTAAATATTGAATATTGGGGTGATCCTTAAATTTTTGTGTTGAGTATATCTCTATTTTCAGTATCAAAGCATTTGAAAGTTCATTTGATGATCCATATAATACTTAAATATTGAATATTGGGGTGATCCTTAAATTTTTGTGTTGAGTATATCTCTATTTTCAGTATCAAAGTATTTGAAAGTTCATTTGATGATCCATATAATACTTAAATATTGAATATTGGGGTGATCCTTAAATTTTTGTGTTGAGTATATCTCTATTTTCAGTATCAAAGTATTTGAAAGTTCATTTGATGATCCATATAATACTTAAATATTGAATATTGGGGTGGTCCTTAAATTTTGTGTTGAGTATATCTCTATTTTCAGTATCAAAGTATTTGAAAGTTCATTTGATGATCCATATAATACTTAAATATTGAATATTGGGGTGATCCTTAAATTTTTGTGTTGAGTATATCTCTATTTTCAGTATCAAAGTATTTGAAAGTTCATTTGATGATCCATATAATACCTAAATATTGAATATTGGGGTGGTCCTTAAATTTTTGTGTTGAGTATATCTCTATTTTCAGTATCAAAGTATTTGAAAGTTCATTTGATGATCCATATAATACTTAAATATTGAATATTGGGGTGGTCCTTAAATTTTTGTGTTGAGTATATCTCTATTTTCAGTATCAAAGTATTTGAAAGTTCATTTGATGATCCATATAATACTTAAATATTGAATATATTCGGGTGGTCCTTAAATTTTTGTGTTGAGTATATCTCTATTTTCAGTATCAAAGTATTTGAAAGTTCATTTGATGATCCATATAATACTTAAATATTGAATATTGGGGTGATCCTTAAATTTTTGTGTTGAGTATATCTCTATTTTCAGTATCAAAGTATTTGAAAGTTCATTTGATGATCCATATAATACTTAAATATTGAATATTGGGGTGATCCTTAAATTTTTGTGTTGAGTATATCTCTATTTTCAGTATCAAAGTATTTGAAAGTTCATTTGATGATCCATATAATACTTAAATAGTGAATATTGGGGTGATCCTTAAATTTTTGTGTTGAGTATATCTCTATTTTCAGTATCAAAGTATTTGAAAGTTCATTTGATGATCCATATAATACTTAAATAGTGAATATTGGGGTGATCCTTATTCTTTTTATGTTGAGTATATCTCTGTGGTACATGCTTGGACGTGGACGTACCAACTCTGTCAATATGAATATTGTGTTAGACTGACTCACTGACTGAGTTTGGTTTTGCGCCGCTTTTAGCAATATTCCAGCAACATCACGGCGGGGGACACCAGAAATGGGCTTCACACATTGTACCCATGTGGGAATTTGAACCAGGGTCTTCGGCGTGACGAGCAAACGCTTAAATCACTAGGCTACCCCACCGCCCAATATTGTGTTAGAGAACTTTGTAATAGGTAGATGTCAAATTGTTACCAATTGATGTGTTGAAGAAAGGAGAGATTATTTTATCTCATATTTTAAAGAGCATGATGGTGGATATTTGAAGGACGTTTTCAAATCTGACGCACCAGTCACCAAAATGGTAGCTGATGCAATTTCCTAGGTAATCTGTATTACCCTGTATGTTTAGGTGAAATCTTAGCGTGAATTGCATGTGTTTGTGATAGATGACAGTCAAATGTCTATCATCACTATTTGTTATGATTTTTTAAACGTATGCTTATTATTAGGGGGCGGTGGGGTAGCCTCGTGGTTAAAGCGTTCTAAACTCATCACTCACTCACTTATAATATAGACCGAGATCCAGAATCTTAGTCATCCTCGTGATTATGGAAAAAAAAAGTTCACTTTTACTTTCAGCCATTTATCAAGTAGCAGTTGTTCCAATCCCAATCCTGAGGCCTTTATGATGGAGCGGTTGTCCTCGTTCTCGACTCCGTGGGTGGTTATGTGATCACAGCGTTTCAGTGATAGAACAAGTAAAAGCAGAGTGACTTCTTTACTCATTTACAAGCATACATACAACCAAGGATCTGCAGCATGTGTCGCCTTCGGTCATCCTCGCTCGCTGGAACATGATCAATCCAAGTGTGAGATATATACAACAAATATATTTAAGACATATAATGTATGCACGTCCGTGTAGTTTATGACAACAATTTAAAAAATATTTGGGTAACGAATATAAAAACATTGCTGTTTAAAACTGGTTTTGGTAACGCATGGTATGACCAAAACGTTAGCTGCTGCCCTAATTTTATCATGTCACTGACACAAAGACTTAAGGATATTTATGTGCAGTGAGTGAGTGCGTTTAGTTTTACGCCGCACTCAGCAATATTCCAGCTATATGGCGGCGGTCTGTAAATAATCGAGTCTGGACCAGACAATCCATTGATCAACAGCATGAGCATCGATCTGCGCGCTTGGGAACCGATGACATGTGTCAACCAAGCCAGCGATCCTGACCACTCGATCCCGTTAGTCGCCTCTTACGACAAGCATGGGTTACTGAAGGTTCATTCTAACCCGGACCTTCACGGGTATATTTATGTGCAGACAAGTCTTGAATCACTCACTTTATAAGACAAATGTTTCTATTACAAACTTTTTAAAGCGCGAATAAGTTTGGAGTGGTACCTCTCTCAAATAACAGTAAAGAAGTTCCGAGTTGCATTTTCACGTTTTCGATGTTCATCTCATGATTGATTTATAGAAACTGGACGCTATACTATATTAATCCACAAGGGTGTATGCCAACTATATGATTTTAATATTGCCGAGGGCCATTTCCTTCTTGTTTGTCCGCTGCACTAAGATCTAAGAAGAAAATATTTACCAAATCATTTTTATAGCTATCCAAACTTTATAAAATATATATCATTACTAACAAGTACAAACATTTCAATACACCAGAATTGATCAATGTTTATATTACAAAGCAACATATGCAACATTACAACGAAAAAAATAATATTTGAAAAAATGTAAAAAGCTACTACTGGTGCGAATATAAATGTATGTATGTTTTATGTACTATAGACCGGTTGCCTCTTCATTGTGGAATAAAGGTTGGTTGTGTGTTCAAGTCATAACAAGTCATAACAAGCAAGGGAGTCAAGACCTTAGGTGGCAAGAAAGCCCCAGATAACGTTTGGCATTTTCTAGTTATATCCGAGTAGCTCAATATAACACTGAACTCACCCATATCTTTTAATGTCCGAGCTGCTCTGAATACTTCCCACCATCGTGTTTTCTCTCCATCAGTTATCCGGAAGGATCTTAAAAAATAGTCAAATATGTTTCAGTATCAGTGTGCGAAACAGCCACTGGTCCGCTAGCCCATGGCTAGTAAGAATCCAGTCGGGGCAATAAATCTCCACAGTCACTGGTCCGACTGGCTAGTGGATTTTCAACGGGTCTGTTTGTAAATATATCACTCTCGAAAAAAGTGGCACGTATGTAACTGTACATACACAGTACATACGTGCCGTCAGCATGGAGCCGTCAGCATGAAGCCCCATGTTCGCAATGTCTGCCGCCAATCATATTTCCATCTGCGCAACATGGGTAGGATCCGTCGATACCTGGATGTGAAATCTGCACAAGCTCTGGTTCAAGCATATGTAACATCCCGCTTGGACTATTGTTGAACTCTTTGCTGTCTGGTGTGCCAAAACCAGTCCTCTACAGGCTACAGAAGGCACAAAATTCAGCCGCACGATTGATCTGTCAAACTACATATAAGGACTGAACACATCTCTCCAGCCCTCAAAACTCTACACTGGCTTCAAGTTCGCTTCAGATTCGACTACAAAATCCTGCTCCTTGTCTTCAAGTGTTTAAACGGTCTAGCTCCAAAATACCTCTCGGATCTCCTGACACCATATCACCCAACTAGATCACTCCGCTCGAGAAACCAGTCTCTTCTTGAAATGCCACAAAGTAAAACTAGAAGTCATATGGGGACAGGTCATTCTATAGAACAGGACCCTTCCTCAATTTACCAGCCGTCCATCGTTTCGAAATAGAACTGTCAAATTTTAAAAGTGGACTCAAGACTCACCTATTCACCTCTGCACATCGATAAAGTGGACTCAGATAGCGCTTTTGGGTAATTACATTGATAAATAGCGCTTCTTAAATGTATGTATGTATGTATGTATGTATGTATGTATGTATGTATGTATGTATGTATGTATGTATGTATGTATGTATGTATGTATGTATGTATGTATGTATGTATGTATGTATGTATGTATGTATGTATGTACACTCCATACGTACTCCATCTTGAGATACTAAAGTCCATGCTTTACTTTTATGCATATAATTCTAACCGCTGTTTCGCCTTTTACACCAAATGGAATCTGTTCCGGTAGATAAATGAGACTGGTTATGCTCTGGCGTTGACGTGTACATTTAGCCAAACCAAACTACCAAGTTTTGAACTGATACAAGATACGAGATGATCATTAAGCAGAACTCAAGGTTCAGTGAATTATTGGTAAATCAATTGATTTCTTTGCTGCTAAGAAAAAATGGCTTATGGAACTTATTGATATTCGGAATGCCGGCATGTCAGAGAGTGCTGTTTCGAAAGACGCCAGGTGTCATCGACTGTCCAGAAACCATCAGCAAACCTAGGATGCGTTTCTGCAGCATTTCCGCATCAAAATATGGATTGTCGCCGACATTAATCTGCGTTGCGTCCTGTAGACACACAATAATTGAAAATGCTTAGCTGAAAACTGCAAACACCCAAATCTACAAGGGGTCCACCTAAAATTAACCAGGTGGGGCATTGGCCCACCAAAAAACATTCCTAGGCTTATTCCAAAATGACGTTAAGCGCCGTCAGCGTACAGGACGACCATGGGTGACGACTCATGGGGTTCATAAAGCCCTTATCAGAATCACAAGACTTCATCTGTTCATGTAAGTGGCTTTAACAGATGCTTCAGCATAGTCGTCCGATATCGCCTACAATCGGCAGATATAGAGCCAGACGACCGTGGTTAATCCCAGAGCACAAAGCAGTACGACTAGCTTGTCATGCTAGACGCCATGGGGAATGGTTCACTGGTCGGACGAAAGTGGACATCTTTTGTTCATGACTGATGGCCGAGCTCGTGTTACGCGAATCAAAAGCACTGCATATCCACAATGGAATATCCCGGACTGTTTGGGTTTATTGGTGGTGTGAGTGCCATCTAGCGGTCAGACAAAATCTGAATGAACAACGGTACATCAGACATTCTAGACAGGGTTGTTGTACCACATTTTGATAGCCATCCTCTGGCCAGTCTTCAAGGCCAGTCTTCAGGGACAATACCAGTCCACATCCTGGACGTGCCGTGCCGTTGGTGAAATCTTACGTCAAGAGAAGGTAACAATTCTTCCCTGAAGGGTAAAGTGAGTGAGAGAGTTTAGTTTTACACCGCACCAGACAATCCAGTATCCAGTGATCAACAGCATGAGCATCGATCTGCGCATTTGGGAACTGATGACATGTGTCAACCAAGTCAGCGAGCCTGATCACCAGATCCCGTTAGTCGCCTCTTATGACAAGCATGGGTTACTGAAGATCAATATTCTAACCCGGACCTTCACGGGTATTGAAGGGTAAAGATGAAAGTGGCGAGGCTACTTACCAATACAGCACATCAGAGCACCTGGGCAAGAGCGGGGAATAACAAGCGTATTACATGTCGACACACAACCGAGTCCGGTACCAGTGCAGGCTGAAAACAGTGAGTAAGTGAGTGAGAATGGTTTCGCGCCGCTTTTAGCAATATTCCAGCAATATCACGGCGAGGGACACCAGAAATGGGCTTCACACATTGTGCCCATGTGGCTAATCGAACCCGAGTCTTCGGCATGACGATGGGACACTTTAACCACTAGGCTACCCCACCGCCCCTGCTGAAAACAGACTTACATGAAATATAATGTATCCTTTTCACGCGACTCTTTAATTTCGATATATTGTCACCTATTTTAAGAAATCAATGTATATTTTAGAAATCAAGGCGTAACTTGAGATCCTTAGGTTAGGCCACATAAAACTAATTTCTCGTTTCTCATTACCGCCCGACACTAAAATATGTCCCGATCCTTTTTTTTAAAATATATCTTGCACTGGTAAATTTGAGTGTATAAAGCCGTCAGACATCCAAAATCCAGTACACCAGAAAAACAGTACATTTGCTTCCTGCATGGACCCTAGCTGGATTTACACCATCCCTTCAGATGTTAGCAAGTTAGACAAATCTAGCCATACATTAAAAGAACATATATCTACGATGAAAAAACGTGGTAAGTTTAAATTCACTTTTAAATTTACAGAAGGACAATAATTTTAAAATACTTTAACCCCTTTGAGGATACAGCTACTAACATGTCACTGATTTAAACTTCCAATTAAGAAAATACATTTATCTACAATACATATCGATCAAACATTTTCAATTAGTTTAATTTCTTTAAAAAAATATAAAAAATAAATGATAGTTATTATTACTAAAAAGATCCTCAACTGTTTTGACATTAGGATATAAGACGGAGGATTCTCGCCTTGCGATATACCACTTTAAAGATTTGAGCAAACTGTACAATACACCTGAGTTTGTGACACAGAGAAGAACTGTTTCAAGAAAACCAAGGACATGTATTTGAAACTGTCGAGCTCGTGATTATATAATACTTAAATAATGATAATAATAGCAATTTATGAAGCACCTGTTTCCACACACTTGTGCATGCTCAAAGCGCTAACACATTATTACCCTGGATAACCCAACCGGCTGTTAGGCGCTAGAAGGTTATAGTCACATGATATTATCCCACCGGGTACCCATTTTCTTCTGGATGAACAGAAGAATTTTGAACAAACCCACTTGCCTAAGGTGTAACCACATGTGTCACATGTGCTTCGTTGTGGGGTGGGACTGAAGTCCTAGAAACTCTCACGAGTCCAGCTGTCAAACATGGTAACCCATCCAAGGACTCTCCGCGCTCAAACTTCAACTGACTGTGACCTGAGCTCTATGCACAGGACCACACACCACGTTTTAACGTATCCATGTGGTTCACATTATGGCCTGAATTGTTTAATTTGAATATAAAATGTGATCTCGTTGCTTATTGCTCAAAGTCCACACCCTGAAGCAACAATTCATCAAGAATAATTTAGGCTGAAAGGTTAGTGTCTACCATTTAGAGAAACCTTCATGCAAATGTGGTATCAATAGGCTTTAAAGCCATCATGCAATTCACTGCATATCCTTCATTCTAACAAAACGTGAACACAAATAGGTTCCACTATCTCTGAACACAAAAACTATACGGTACAAATATATGGAGCCAAATTTATCTTGAACACATTTGGAAACCAGGGCCTGGATTTTCGAAGCTCTCTTAGCGCTAAGATAGTCGTAAGTTAATGTTAATGGCACACTAACTGTTAATTGTCTCTACAAGTAACTTTAAATGTTGACAAGTACATAGCAAACAGAGTCACACAGAATTTGGATAAGTTATTTCTCTTAAAGTGTACTATCTTTACTTCCTGATTATTAACGTATCCGTATGATTCACATTATGACCTGAATTGTTTCCAAAAAATATATATATAACATAGTGGGTAGGTCATAGGTAGTGTCAAACATTTTAAATGCTTAACTATTTGTGAATTACAATTGTGAATGATAAAGGGATTATATCTGTATCCGAATCTAAGTTCAATTACTAACAGTTCAAAATACACATGATTTTGTCCCACTAACCGGACAGCGACTACGTCTGAGGACGTTTGGTTTGCCATACCTGGCCTCCCAACCAACACCAAAGGGACGGGTTTCATGAGATCGCAACGTAAATTTAATCATGATATTACGCACCTGTATGTACCTAACATACCAGTGTTGGCACATAAAAGCTTTCAGATAAAATTTAATACGACTGATTCAAAATGCCATGATATTATATAAATGGGGACATTCTAAGTGAATCCACCGTAGGGAGAAAACATTAACAGCTGATTGTTATTTCCGTCTTGGTTTACGTGGAAACCACACGGTAATCTTAATCCTTGCATACATACAACGCTTGAAACACAGCTTAAACGGTAAATAATTATGCCCACTGGGGTATGATTAAAAACAATTAAGTAAGTTGCTAATCCCCTGTTCGTTCACCCGATTTTGGAGAGGGGCAGCTCCCATCATTTTAAGTATCGTTCAATAGAGGCTTTTAGAGACCGTATAAATTGGTTTAGGGGGGTAACTGTCGAGATTCATTTATCCGGACAAACTGTGAGAAAACGCAAGTGTCCTGATAAGCAAGGTTCAATTGTACATAACCAGAGTCAACTGCACATTAATTCACATACGTGACAGGGTCGTTGGTGGTAGGGTGGCAATATCTGAAACAGCAAGTAAAATGTGTGTGAGGAACGTACCAGGCAACCATTTGAAGATACATTGAGGGGCAAAAGAAACTACAGAACTCTACCAGAATTTAAACAGCACTAAAAATATTTTCAACATAGGGATTTATAAAAATTATTAATTGATTTAACTCACAAATAACCCAGATTAGAGCTTTTCCCTTCATGTTACATTTGCAATGTTTATTTACAAACAAATATACTATACAAACAAATGTGTGTGTATGTATATATATACCACCCATCAAAAGTTTAGAGTGAGTGAGTATGGTTTTACGCCGCTTTTTAGGAATATTCGAGCAATATCACTGCGGGGGGCACCGGAAATGGGCTTCACACATTGTACCCATGTGGGGAATCGAACCCGGGTCTTCGGCGTGACGAGCGAACGCTTTAACCAGTAGGCTACCCTACCGCCCCCAAAAGTTTAGATGTTGTGTATATACATGAGGTTACATCGAAGATGAATTTCTCCACTAACTTGGGGGAACCAACTGCAAACCTTATGCAGATGAATTGCTCGAGGATCAATTATCAAATTGCTGAAAAGCATGTGCAAATATCATGCATGTGAACAGCTGCGTTATGGTGTTGAGCATGTATTGAACTCCTGACAATAATCTTTTCAACGTTACGAATTTGTTTTACAATACATCTTTTCATGTGTAAAGAGTACCTATAAACAGTATGAAATATTTTGCAAAATCTAGTTTAGAAGAGTTGACTGAAGAGAGTTACACTAGTGAATCTAAACTTTTGATGGGTAGTGTGTGTGTGTGTGTGTGTGTGTGTGTGTGTGTGTGTGTGTGTGTGTGTGTGTGTGTGTGTGTGTGTGTGTGTGTGTGTGTGTGTGTGTGTGTGTGTGTGTGTGTGTGTGTGTGTGTGTGTGTGTGTACACACACATTGAGCGTGGAAACATCTTCAGCATACTAACTCGTATTATAACAAGTCACGTCGTTGATTAATAGTGTTAGTAATCCCTAAAGGAATCAATACCAAGGACATCAGAAACAAAGACTGACTGACTGAGTTTGGTTTTACGCCGCTTTTAGCAATATTCCAGCAATATCACGACGGGGGACAACATAAATGGGCTTCACACATTGTACCCATGTGGGGATTCGAACCCGGGTCTTCGGCGTGACGAGCCAACGCTTTGACTACTAGGCTACCCCACCGTCCCAGAAACAAAGAGCCCAGCAAAGTTTTAGGGATCATTCCTGCTACTGTGAAGAACTTTCTCCCTCACTTATATCAAGGTGATTCCAAATATTATTAATATAAACGGCGATATCGAGCTTCATACAAACTATATGATTTCCATAATTTGGGGGTAGTCGAAAATAAAGGATCATTTCAGAAATACAAAGTGGTTTCAGTGATGCTACTGGATAGATAAGGTAATGGGGGGACTAGATGTAGCATGAGTGAGTGAATGAGTTTAGTTCTCACTGACTCACATGCATGGAGGAATTACACGTGTAATCTTTGGATATGTGGGGATGTTAGGATCTCCTACCTTTGTGGGAGAGTTTACATGAACTTTTTCTATTTGAAATGAAGAATTATTGCACCAAGACCATAAGTATGTGTTACTTTTCAACACTGATCCCACATTTTCTGTGAAACATTTAGTTTTGAATAACAAAACTTACATTACAATAAAGAAGTTGTATCTCTATAGAACTTTCCCCTTTGTCCATTTAGTTTTGGTCTAAAGACATCGATAGATTATATTTAAAGCTACATCAAATATAAACCTTGTCAAGGTTGCCTTTATTTCGCAGATTTACCGTCCTTTCTGTTGTTCTGAAAATATTTATCATGCTGGACAAAACCCTCATGGTTGTGGTCAAAAGAGGCTGGACTACTTACTCCTACAGCACACTTCATTCGCTGGACACTGGCGCGGGCTGACACGTCCACTGATTGGGCACCGATTAGGGCTGATACACGCGGTACCTCCTTGATTGCACGCTGAAACATAACATTCATAACGGTAAACATATCTGTTTCTAATATGTTGTTACTTTCGTTTTAATGATATTTACTCAAATACAAAATATATTATTAGGTATTGTCACTTACAAACCTTAATGTTCACATTTTGAACGAGAGAATGTCTGTCGAAAGGAATACAACCCACTGAATAATGCTTTGACTGCACATCCTCTAGTCAAGCCTCACTTGAAAGGTTCTGTTTGAAAGGCTAGACAATGCCATTGCCACAGACTCTAAGCAGTCCTCATAAAAATACTATTCAGATAATGTGAGTGAGTTAATGTTTTAAGTCACATTGGCAGTATTTCAGCCATAGCGTGGCTAAAACAAGTAATAAATTGGTAATACATTAAGTTAGATTATACAAACCTAACGAAGGATCTAGAACATCACAGATCTAAATGTAAAACTACTTTTTACATCTAAAATTGTTTGACTATTAAGACAATACAATATAAAAAACAGGCTATAGATCGCCACCAGCTGAAGGTAGATCACCACACTGGGGACCATTGGGACAGTACTTTGCTTCCTATGGACCATTTACATCGTTACATATTCAGCTGTTAGCGATTTGGACAGATCTTGTCATTGATCTAAACAAACATATATTCTACACTTTAAAATGTGGCCAGGTTAAGTATACTTTGAAAGACGTGGTCTTACATACCTCTCAGCGGGACAATACGTTTACAATACTTTAACCCCTTTGAGGACAATCTATGTTACTAATCTAATCTACAAATTATAAATACTATTGATCTATTTACAAAAATACTTATTCAAAAATTTTCTATCAATTTTTAAAAAAACATGATAAATGATAATTAACTTTATTAAAAAGATCGTTAATTGTTTTGACACTATTCAGAAAAAAACACTTCTTCAGACACGATTAACACAAGCAGCTGTTATGTAACGGTACAACTCTTCTTCCTGCTTAAACGTGGTTACTTAACAATACTGACCATAAAGAAGATTACTTAATCATTAACTTACGTCGCAGTGTCGTTGTCGTTGTTGTTGTTAACGTTAAGAAAGCTGAAACAATAGAAAGGGTTATGAAGCTGAAGCTCGGTACAGGTGTATCCCCAGGTGTATCGACCTGAACTAGAAACCAAGGAGCGAGTGTCTGGCCTAATTCATAAAACATATCAAAGTGACAAAACACTTTCTACAAGACTGTACGACGATTCAAGTTGACAACGTCCACATAATGTCTAGCATAATCCAGCAGCCCCAGGAGGTGGTGGGGTAGTCTAGTGGGTAAAGCGTACGCCCGTCACGCCAAAGACCCGGGTTCGATGCCCCACAAGGGTAAAATATGTGAAGCCCATTTCTGGTGCCCCGTCTCCCCTCCCCGGATATGCTGGAATGTTGCTGAAAGCAGCGTAAAACCATACTCACTCACTCACTCCAGCAGCCCCAGCTTTTTATGTCTACATTTGTTATGCAATTCATTTTACGATGATTCCAAAGAGCGTCATGGGACCTTTCTCAACCGTTATTTGATCAGGGGTACCCCATTACGGGCATCAACAAAGCATATAAAAAGTATTAAGGTGGACACGCTCAATCTGACGAACCAGTTACGATAATTGTCACTTCTATTTAAAGATATTAGCTTTTTGACTGTTTCACTTTTGTAAACCGTTGCGGCCACAAGCATTATTATGGCATTTATAACCTTAATTGGTCATCCCCCTTGGCCAGGTCTGTCATCACATCAGTTTGCCCCAGGCAATGTTATTTGCTCTTAATCTGTCCATTCTTGTCTGTTCGTCTGTCCATTGTTACCTATTACTATATATATACACAAAGAACTTAATTAAGCACCCCTGTATTGCAATGATAGGTTTCCAACACGTACATAAAACCTGTCGTGGAAAAACAGTTTTTCTGACAGTTATGATCCTTTGACTCATGCAAACAGACAAAATGATTGGAATCCATGTTGATTTTATGATGATAATTGCTCATTTAAATACAAACACATACTGATTTTCATACAAAACCATGTCTATACAAGTATGGCCCTAGGTGTTTCATGTTGAATTTATTGGTGAATATGAACATTCAAAATGTCGTTTTGCATGTCGTACACGATTCAAGGTCAATACCGAGTGTAACCTCCATGTGACTGTATGACAGCCAGCACCCTCCTCCTCATACCCCCAGTCAGCCTCCCAATCCCCTGAAAGTGCAATCTACACCATTTCTCGTGGTAAGCAGCTTGAGTTTGGGCCATGTTCTGTACATGGGGGCTCATTCAACCGTGAGACATGTCAGGGGTTGCTTAACTAAGTTCTTTGTGTATATATTCACATCTATACTGTCCGGCAGCCTGGTACTCCGACAGCACCTGTGTATACGGCCGTGAGTTGGCTACCCCTGATTGCGGGACTTGTCCCATCATAGCAAAGTTTCATCACTGCTCCACATATTTCTTAATGTGTCTGTTTATTGTTTAACTGACTAAAGAAGTTTGGACTCAACGTATTCGTTCATCTTCGCCAACGTATAATTCTGAGCTAAAAATTGCCCTGTCGACATATACTGAGGGAAACAAATAAAGGAACACAGGAAAATTCAAGCGTTCCTTTAACAGTTTCAAGTTTTCATCACCAGCTTTGAATAGCGCTGCGGGTGGAAATCTGAGAATAAATGAGTGAGTGAGTTTGGTTTTACGCTGCTTTTAGCAATTTTCCAGCAATATCACGGCGGGGGACACCAGAAATGGGTTTCACACATTGTACCCATGTGGGGATTCGAACCCGGGTCTTCGGCGTGACGAGCCAACGCTTTAACCATTAGGCTACCCCACCGACCGAGAGAATAAATGAAGTGGTGTTCCGTTATTTGTTTCCCTCAGTATATTGTGTATACATATATGTGTATATTACTAGTATACGTGACATACCACTGGAGCAGCGTTGTACAGAGCAAGCCAACGAAATAACTGCTCTTAAAGGTATACTAGTATTTTTTTATCAAATGAATGACAGTCAACTTCCACAGTTACGTCTTCCTTCAACATTCAAGAATCACTATATACAGTAATTAAAATAGACATTGGGTTATTTATACATAGTGGTGTTTTAATATGTGTCAACCGTGGTTATTTGAGTTTAACTGGTAGAACATATCCCTTATTTGTTTCCCTCAGTATGTATACGCTTTGACACCTGTATTCACTGTTTTTGAGTGTGAACATTCCATTAAAGAAATAGTTAACATGATACAGTCACATCGGGCCAACTTACCCACACAGCACACCTGACCAAACGGACAATCGAGACCGGAAACAATTCCATTGGGGTTACAGAGACCATCGAAGACACATGTCAATCCCGTAAAAATGCACGCTGGTAAAAAAATAATTTACAGAGTAAAAATGTGTTTTGTGATGGTGCTTTCAAAGAAATGTGAAAACGGGATTAGTGGTTCCACTAACTCACTTGGATGATTGCAAGTCACCGTATCCATGACGTTCGAATATTTACAGGTTCCTGGCATATATCTTGAATATTTATGAATATACACCAAATATAAACACGGGTAAGTAATATCAAGAGAATTGTTATTTGTAAAGAGAGACAGCACGTGTGTTTAAGTGCGCCATTGTCCGTGGTGGTGTGTAGAAGATTTCTTCGACATCAAATCCAGGAACCATAACAACATTTTGGAAACATAGGACAATTCATCCCTAATTGCACATATTCTAGCAAACCATATATTCTACATATCCGAATTCGACTGCATATTAGCTCGCAAACTTACGTGGCATGGTGGTTGTCGGTAGAGTGAAGGCGCCTGCAACATTAGAATGGGTGTTACAAAATTCTTTCCAAAAAGGCTTCCATTTTAAAGACGGCAATGCTTTGTTGAGTGAGTGAGTATGGTTGCATGCCGGTTTTAGCAATATTCCAGCTATATCACGGTGGGGGACACCAGAAATGGCCTTCACACTTTGTACCCATGTTGGGAATCAAACCCGGGTCTTCAGCATGACGAGGCTGACCCCACCAGCAATGTTTTGTAGAGCCAGACAAACCCTACAACACTCTGATACAACGTCTCCAGAAAAACATATTAATCCTAAAAGAATTGCAACTGTGAAAAGGTTTTCTTAATGTCAATAAAGATATGAATATATAAAATATATTAAAAAATATATATATACAAAATTCTGTATGTTCAGTCTTCATCATAATAACCCAAATCAAGGTATACCAATTCTTTACGGTGAGTGAGTGAATAAGTGACTTTTTTGCAATATTCTAGCAATATCACATTAGCATTAGTGAGTGAGTCTTGTTTTACGTCGCTATTAGCAATATTCCAGCAATATCACGTCGTGGGACACCCGAAATGGGCTTCACACATTGTACCGTTGCGGGAATCGAACCTGGATCTTCGGCGTGATGAGCGAACGCTTCAACCACTAGGCTACCCCACAGCCCCTGATCTCATGCCCAGCGTAATAAACTATTTTAAATAGTCCTTGCGTTTACCTACCATAAGAATAAAGTTCTGAAGAAAACAATACATAACATCAATTTTGATTTGGGCTATATCAGGCCAGTACAACATTGAGACCGAATGTCACGTGCCTTTACACTTAAATGTCCTTTATGCCAAGGTCTTAATCTTTAATTAAAAAAAGGATGAGGTATGGTATTATGGGAATACAAGGCTGAAATGTGTTTCGTATTATAAATATTTGGGTTTAATATTCTCATCCAGACTAAATTGGTCAACAGCCTGTAAACATTTATCTGTTCAAGCATCAAAGGCTATGCAATCTGTATATCAGTTATTCAAAAAGAATTCTTTTATTTCTTTCAAAACTGCTTGTACCATCTTTGATTGTAAGATTTTACCGATTCTTTTATATGGGTCCAAATCTGGGGAACTAAATATTTTCATTGTATAGAAAAGGTTCATGCATCATATTTTAAATGCTTCCTAAATTTGGGAAAGTATGCTTCAAATAAGGCTGTATTAGGGGGAAACTGGTCGTTGCAATATATTTGTACTCACCAGATTACGAGTAATAAAATTTTGGCTGAAATTATTAAAAATGGATTCTTATAGGTACCCAAGGCAAAGTTATATTTTCCTAAAGCTACAAGATGATATTGGCAAGCTTAATTGGGCATCAGAGGTTAGACAGTTACTTTTTTCGACTGGATTTTCTCATGTGTGGATTTCACAAATGGTTGGAAATGAATGTAATTTTTTATATGTTTTTTAAGCAACGTCTTCAGGACATTTTCTTCCAAGAATGGTCTATGTCTATAAATAATTCAAGTTTCTTAGAACACTATTCTTCTCATAAATCTTTGTTAGAACCGGAGTTTTATATTATGAACCTACAAGACAAATCGTTAATACGGGCGTTGTGTAAATTTAGAATTGGCTTTCATGATTTTAGAATTCACTATTTACGCAAACCCAATAGAGCTTTCAGTGATGTAAATGAATCCATCTGTAAAAATTGTAATACAGGTAATATTGAAAGTGAATTTCATGTATTATTTGTGTGTACCAAGTATTTAGATTTAAGAAGTAAGTATTTATCATTTGTATCAACACCTGTAAGAGATGAACAAATATTGTCTAGTCTGTTAAATTCTAAAAATATTGATATTATCAAATCTATTGCAATTTATTTAAAACATGTTTTCAATGCAAGAAATGTCACCACAACCACCACGTGCATATAATTGTAGCAAGTGTATTTGTACTATAGGCCATTAGGCCCGAAATACTGAATAAAAATGAATCTGAATCTGAATCTAATCTTTAATCTTAATCTTAAACCTCATGAAACTACTTACAAGACATTTCGTGGACAACTGCCACCATCCTGGGTTTGATTTCCAACGTGGGTATAATGTGTGAAACCCATTTCTGGTGTCCCCCGCCATAATATTGGTGGAATTTTGCTATAATGCTAAAAAAACTAAACCCACTCACTAGTAGAATTTCTCCTCAATATGAACTATATTTCATTTTCAAAAATAAAAAAGCAAACGATGCTTTGAGTGAGCAAAAGGTCGGACTACTTACTTAAGCAGCAGACTTCACCGCTTGGGCACCCGAATCCGAAAAGTGGCGAGTTGCAGAAACTTGGGGTAATACATGTGATGCCGTCGAAATTGCAAGCTGAAACAAATCATTTTCAAATGCAAAATATCTTTCCATGGAACTGTCTTCTTAATATTTCGACTCTCATGTTTCAATAACGTACAATGTTATACAATGTAAACATCTCTATCTTTATCAGTTCGGGGCATGTTTCTCGATTTGTCCTCCATCTTTCGTTTCTTATTTTGTAATCACATGTCTTCTCATCCGTTCGCTTCTGTGTTCACTCGTCCAATGATGTTGGGATTGCATATTGCAAATTTAGAGTCAATACAAAGGCCAAGATCAATTCTCTCTGTCCATGTCACCTTATATTGGGGAGTATTCAATTCTTCAATTTGTTTATTACGTCCCATGGTCCCTGGTATGGCGATCTAACTTCAGTTGCTGGTGATATATAGGTCGTTTTATATTGTATTGTCTTGCATTAGTATTCTAGTATTATTGATCTTTACTGATAATTAATTGTTCTCGTCACGATATGGCTGCAATGTTGCCGATGTGACGCTAAATATTAACTCACTCACTCGTTTATTACGTATAGGCCAATAGTAGAAGGTGTTTAAATTTCAGACACAGCATCAATGTTGTTTGTGAACCAGTGAGTTTGGTTTACACCGCTTTTAACAATATTCCAGCAATATCACGGCGGGGACACCAGCAATGGGCCTCAAACATTGTGCCCATGTGGAGAATCGAACCTGGGTCTTCAGCGTGACGAGCAAACGCCTTAACCACTAGGCTACCCCACCGTCCGTTTGTGCACCACCTGATAACACGTACATAATCACACCAGGTCATGTAATCAGAATTAACATTGAATATATTTTGTGTGAACACAACAATATATACTGATGTATAAAAGAAAGTACACACCTGGTGTTTTGAGACTATTAAAACAACTTAAATATTTTGCTAGCAATGTTCCAATTGGGTACGATATCGATGATGTTATTGCAACACGTACACAATGTTTGTGATTTGTGAGTCGCAATCAAAACACCTTTCTAAATACTACGCTGTTTTCAGGAAAACATTTTACCAAAGCATCAAGTGAGTACTTTTTTTGTACGTCAGTTTGAAAAAAATATCAACATTGTCAGATGAGATGAGGTTAACAAGTTTCTGATCAGTAGGGTTTTCAACCTACATTTCGTTACTGTATAATTACAAAACAAACAATATATGCTAATGACTGATTAACGTTGGTTTGTTTGTTGTTTTACGCCGCACTCAGCAATATTCCAGCTATATGATGGC